GAGATGATGCACCCGAGTCCACAATCCATTCAGTCATGTTGTCGCAATCGCTCCTTGCAATGGCCACATGTTCCTCTGCCATGAGGACATCGACCTTAGCATCCTTCCTCTTGGCCCCCTTTGACGAACTCTGTCCTTCATCCACTTTAGGTGGACGTTGTCCCTCCGATCCTCCCCCTGCAGCCCAACATCGTTCAAAGGTGTGTCCGAGTTTGTGCTTGCAGTTTGGATTCGTGCAGCACAGACGTTCTTTGTTGGACTTCCTTCCATCAGACTTACTGGAGTTTTTGTCAGGTGTTTTTCCAGATTTGGCAATGAGGATGGTAGACGAGGATGGTTTTGCCTTCCTCTTTTCTTCTCTGAGGATTTGTGCTATCAACTTTTCGCAGGCCAGTGTTGACACATCATCGATATTGGCCAGCATCATTTGTTGTAGTGTCTCATATGAATCTGGTAGTGCCTCCGATACAATCATGGCGAATTTAGCATCAGTGTAGGTATTGCCAAGACTTGCTAAGTGGTCTTGTAGTTCACACATCTGGATCAGTTGAGGCTCCATTGACTTGGAGTCGTCCAGTTTGAAGTGGTGAAGCTGAGTCATAACTCTCGCAGCATCCTGTGCCCCAGCACCGTTGTAACATTTGAACAGGGTTAGCCATGCTTCCTTTGTGGTATCCTTCCCTTCGATAATGGACAAAGGCATGTCTTCAAGGGTAAGTCCAATCTGGGTCAGTGCATGGCCGTTCTTTCTGTCCCATTCGTCTGCATCAGGGGTGGATGAGGTGGCAGCTTGTTTACCAGAAGAGGATGAAGGGGAAGAGGGGGGAGGGGGAGAAGGTCTGGTCAAGTACTTTGATTTGGGATTGACGATATCCCAGAGTCCTCGATCAGCGAGAATCATTCAGCTGCATATGGCCCACATTCGATAGTTCCGCCCATCACTTTTGAGTTTTTCAATGTTGTAAATACTCTTGGAACCATCAGCTGTAACGTTAGTGGTCATAGTTAGGCTCATAACCTATTAGAATTAGTCTATGTCACGTTAGACTCAGACTCTGACAAGAGATCTAATTGTAAATACCTATGCCGCATTAGACTGCGACAAGAGTTATACATGAATTATAAAGAAGATTATTAGAGATCATTCTCACCTCAGACTCTGACAAGAGATCTGAGGGAGAAAAGTCTAAGAAATCCCTTCTTATATACGCAACATTCCCTGAGTGGCAACGTCGTCGTACAAAGGGAGTTTTAAGTTGAATAAGGAGGGCAAAGTGCCCCCAATGTGTCATATCCCGGAATTCCGACCCCACACACTCCCACCACACCACACCTTCCTAACAACTTCACCATCCCCTACACCATGCCTCCCCACTCCCCAAGTCACCTTCCTTCCTGACTGTCTCAGCTCCGGTCTTGTCATATCCATACAATCCCGACCTCCGCTCCGGGCTCCCGGAACTCCGAACTCCGACTTCCGGAGCCCTACTTCCCTTCCGTCACCTTCTCCTTGCCGACTCCCAAGAGGTTATCCCACCTCCGGCTCGGACACCACCTTCGGTCCGACTCCGGAACATTCCGGGTCCGACCCCAACCTCGACACCTTCCAGACGAGTATGCAAAACCTATGCTCCCGACTCCGGACCTCCGCTCCGGTATCCCGTTCACGTCTCGTCTCTGGAACCTCCGGTCTTAGCTCCGACCTCGGACTTTGACCCCACCTCTGCTTATACCCATTGTATTGGTTAGCTCATTCCATTTAATTACCTTTGCCAATATTCCGGAGTTTAACCTCCGAGTTCGGACTTTCCGGACTTACTCCGGACCTTGCAACTATTGCATTGTCCATTTCAATTCCGCTATTCTCCCTCATTCCTATTTGGGCTGCTGCTTCTTTTCTATTCAGTCAGCTAGCCATTCCCGACTCCCATCCTCCTTCCTTCCTTCTTGGGCCTTGGCCCTTCATTCCTCCTTTGAGAAACACCATTGAGTCAAACACTTGACCCTCGGTGTTGTTCCCCTTTCCATCTCCCTTTGTCTCCTTTTGTCCTACCCTTGTTCCTTTTGATTCCGGACCCCTCCTTATATACAATGTACCTAGTAACTTGTAACCTCAGTCCGAAATCGACTTGAATTCCCCCCAAGAGACTTTCCCTCTGCTAGATCCGAAATTAGGGACCCCTAGGACAACCAGCAATGGCACAGCGCTCCACCTGAGTCGCTGAGGCCAAGGTCCTTCCATGCTAAGTCTCCGATTCCATTCCGGAGTCATCCGAATCCGCACGTTCTAACAGGTCTGGTTGCAGCACACCGAACCTTGGCCACTCCCATCCCGGAAGCTCAGTCCCGAGTCGGAACATTTGGAGACTCCAGATTTGCTCCGATATCCCGACGGACCTCTGACACCCCGTGACATACCCCTAAACCATTTCTCCACCCATTTCATTTATTGGAGTCACCCAACATCCTTTGGATATGCAACTCCGCTTTCGGAGCTACCCACATCCTTCGGTGACCCCTCTCACATCATCTCTTATTAGTCACCTTCCATTCTTAGCACAATGTCAGGGCACAGCCCTCAACCCCACACACCCTCAGACACCCCTTCCCCCTCCTAACCACCCTTCCCCCATTTTCCCCCATTTTTCCTCCACTGTTCCGCAATAGTACAGGTATGCAAACCCGTGGGAACGTTCTGGGCGAGCAGCTCGCCCAGAATCTTCCCACGGTACCTAATATGGAAACTCGGGGAAGACCCGACAACTGCACAGTTCTCAGGCTCCTTTTGTAGCGGCCTCACAGGGGGTTGAGAAGGTTACCCTTCTTCTCAACTCATTCCCTGTGAAGCCCAGGCCAAGTCCCCTCAGCGACTTTGAGGAATTAGTGGCTGGAGAAGACTCTCCAGTGCCACTCCCAGGCCTCATTGCTACGTCCCCTCTGGATGAGGGATGGACCCTGACACACGACTATCTTCTTCTTACCATTCAGTCGGCTAACCCCCTCTTACCCATTTCTCGTTCCCATTCATTTTCTGGCCTCTTACTCCACCCTCCTCGACCTGACACCTCGGTTCCCCATTAAAGATATCGTTCAGGACCTTTCGGTACCTCTCAGCATCATTCGGCACCTTTCGGTGTTCTTCTATTATCATTCGGACTTTGACTAAGTCCTTCCCATTCCCCCTTATAAATACCTGTAGATTAGAACCTGTAGTTTTTCCTCAGTTCTAATCTCGACTAAAATGCTACCCCAAGTCCCTCTGAGTGAATCCCAGCCCCTTCCTACAAGATACCTCAGACATAAGAAATACAAGGACTAACTGAGACGTAACGGAGGCACAGCGCTCCCTCCGAGTCACTGAGGCCGTGTCCTCCTTAGAGCCTCTTGTACCATCCAGCAGAACTGGGCTTCCTGGGGAAGCTTTGGTCCACTACCGGAGCTCCCGGATCCCATCTAGTTGAGCCCCCGCCTGCATTCGGACTCATGCATTTTCCCCTACAATCCGGGTTTTTGACACAACGCCTCAAAGCGCCCCAGAATAACCGCTACAAATGACTGCCACAAAACTTCCCAATGTAAACAAAGTTGCTGTTCTAATAGTATCTGCATCTGCAGGCTTTGCCCTTAAATACATGCATGAGTGGCAACAGTGATATGCAAGAGACAAAAGGAAATGAACTACAAAGGTAAACTGGATGCTTTGTGGTCCAGTGCCAAGTTGCAGGAGCGCCCCGATGCCTCTCCCAAAGCTCAATTTGTCTGGTCTGAGCTCCTCCAATCTGGAAGTGACGTGCTGGGTGGATTACCACCCCTGACTGCCTGTGGCGTTGGACTGCTAACTTCAACAGTTTTGTCTCCCACATGCTCCAGCCACTCTTGACTCTCCAGAGCATAACAGACTTTTGCTGATGTATTAAGTCTCTGATTCCATTCCAGAACTGTCCAAACCTGCAGTATCTTGTGAGAGAACTAGCGTTACAAACTAGTGCTCAGTTCACGATAGTGTAACTAGATTACCAAAAAGTATTACCTAGCATTACAAACTAGCACTAGACAATGAAAGATTATTAAGTAAAGGTCTAATGAGACCAAGAATGAGACCTCACCTCAGTTCACGATAGTGTAACTGAGGAGAGAGGAAAAAACGGTCACGATGAGTGATCTAACAGTTGAGGGGGGAAAAAAGTTTTTTTTTTTTTGGAGGCAGTCACATCACCCACTGGGGCACTGTTTAGGTTTACTCTACACGCTTATCAGCTTCAGAACTGATTTCTAACAATGACTGGACTTGGGCTCCTTTCTGAAGTTGAATGTCTCTCACTTTTTGGATGAGTGATTCAATGTTCAACATTAAACTGGAGATGTCAATTGAGCAATGCATGTAGGCTGTTTGAATATTCATGTATACCCCACCGTCTATCAATACAAGTCTCAACATTTTTCTCACTTCACAACCAGCCGAAGGCAGTTCGACTAGTTTAATATGATCAAAAAAGCTCGGATTTTGCGACAACGAACTGGGTAAGAGTCTCTCATTCATCATCATGCACTGGATCTCCAAAAAATGTATCAAAAAAAGAGCTCCTGGTTTCATCGGTATACATGGACCAGCCCTCGCTTTTACGATGCTCTTGATCTCTTGTTCCCTCTTTTAACGTTGCTTTCTCTTTCCCTCTCCACTTCACACTCTAGTTATGACCAGGTCAAAACCTTCGCATGATAACCGAAACATGACCACCCTACAACGCCCACTCCGATTTGGTATCTTGATGTCCCCCCAACCTCGACTTTGGCTCTGCGCCCATATCTTGCTTTCTGTGCATAAGTCGCTCCCCATCTTGGAACATCTGAGGTCCATGATCTATCACAAGGGACATTGCTCCATCTAGCGAGTGAATGCACTAGTTCTGTCTTCCATGACCAATTTTTCAATAAGGATACTGGGCACACAGAGTGTCGCTGCACTTGCTGACACGCCGAGATTTGGATCCAGATTACTCGGTCGCCGTGCCTAAATTTCGGCTCGCAATGCCAAGGTCCTGAATCTGCTCACTGAGCTTGATCTGTGCCTTCGTTCGAATGATGCCCTTCTACGTGCTGAGTGACAGCACTTATATTATTGCGCATCTGATGAATAAGTCATGGGGGAGTAGGCTACGGATGCGTTGCTCTTACCCTGGAAGGAAGCCGGGACAAATGTATTGATATTCCGTTGTCTCCCTCGAAACGAAGCTCACTCCAGAGTCTCGAGCGCGAATGTAAACTGGCGTGAAGGAGCGGGAGAAGCATGTGGTCAATACACGAGACATTACTTTGATGGCGCATTGCTTCGTGACGGTATACGTACTTTGCTAAGAGGGATGTAGTATAGACGCCTCCGAGCACCTAGGGAGTATTACTAAGGCCAAGCGTTTGCATTGAAAGACAAGTTTTACTCACAAAGATGAAAATCATGGGGATAAATTGGGGGCTGTGGAACGCAACCTGCCCCGAGAAAGGCTGTCAGGATTGCACATCAGAAAAGTTGAGAAAATAAACATACAGAAAACATGGCACCCAGCGCCAGAATGCTAAGTTGGGGAAATAGAGGAAGCTTAACCTAGTTCAGTGACAACAACACAAATCATACCCAGTCAGCAGGCCAGTACTGATGGCATATGCTGTTAGCTTCCGTAACACTGTGTCCATTCTTTAGGCAGGAATCCATTCATGCATTTAGTTCCACAAGAGTCAGATCAATCACTTACCGCCGAAATCCTGTGCGGCGCTTCTGGAGGAAATATGACATAGCGAAGCCAATCACGAGATCAGCCACTGCCTTTGAAGGATGAATGTTCATGCAAGCGAAATATCCTGGCCAATGGGAAGCGCGTACCTCTAGTGTTAGCCACGATACAGTGAGTGGGCGTTTGGAAAAGAGTATGCTTTGGGGACCGTGAGTAAAATTTCTGTCAGGTGAGACGACAAGAGCATATCAGTAGAAAATTGCTGGTTCAGATGGAGAGCCCTCTTACGCCTTGACAAAGAGCACTTTATGCAGTACGCGCGGGGTGCAGAGAATCTCAGAAGTGATTTAATCCCACAATTTTGCACCTCACCAACACCGGTCCCTGGGTCGAGATAATCAGACGCTCGAAAAACACAATCACTTGGATCCGCTCACCAAACTGCCCCAGAGTCAGGAAAACCTGTCAATAAGGATTCCGTAAAAAGGGATTGTCTGTAGGATGGACGGTGATGACATACAATCAATGTTGGTAGCCAGATCGATCCACTGACTGGACACAATTCGGATGAATGTCAAAATCCTTGGAAGAAAGGACTACCGGAGGGGACTTACGTCGATAGAGTCTTAGGATGAAGAGAAATTGGACGATGGCAGAACAAATAACCTAGTGGAGCGAATTATGAAAAGGCACATAACCTTCGGTGCACCGACTAGGCTCGGACCGGGGTTGAGATAATGACCCTACCATGGATAACTGGTAGATAGTATCAATCCTGTCGTGGGGACAAAGTCAGACCCAGTGCGATGGGTCCACCAGAGGGCCTACCATCTTATAGTCAACTTCCCAGAGTGCTCGATAATCCATATATACACGTAAAGCGAAGCTATCCTAGAGAAGCAGCAAGTCATTGAAAGATGTATCTGACGCGGCTTTTAGCTCACACTTGAAACATCTGCATGAGCCTGAAAGTGGAGTGCGCAGTTGCCCAACCATCATCCAAACGTAATTGGCCAGCACCCACCATAAGAATCCGATGACGGTCTTCTGAAAGAAATGGTCTTTGGAAAACCTTTTGTAATAGAGAAAAGTCTGAATGGTGATTACACCGAGGAGTCTATAGCATGAAGGGGAGGGACATGAAGTTCATTTGAACAAGGGCCGAAAGATGGAAGAGCGAATATGTCATTATCCGATTGTCAATGCCATCGACCACGCACACTGCCTGGAGTACAATCCCGGAGAAGGCACCTGCAGCAATATATCCGAACCTGGAGGGCGTTTCCATTTGGTAAGGTGATCTGAGAATGGGGAATGAAAATGCTCAACCCAACCCAACTGCGTAGACTTGCTACGCGTTATATACATTCTCGTTCGGCGATCGTAACTGTTGGAATCTATGAGGCACCGGAACCTTCCGGAATTGTGGTGGGAAATCTCCAGGGCTGAATAAATTCTTATGCTTTGTGAGACTTTCATTTGATATCATCGTAGCTAACAACGATTATACCCAATTTGTTTCAGAGTTGCGATCTTTCACCGATACCACGCGCTCTCAATCTTTTTTGTCTTGATTGTTTTTCATCGCCGGTCACCACAAGACAAGGTGCGCGCCGTAATTTTTCCCGCTCCCTCATTGAGAATGAGGTGATACCATTTCCTTTTTATCATGTTAAGGTCAAACTCATGTATCTTTCATGTTATAGTCTGCGCATCCAGCAACTAATTCTATTACGATTGCCCCTCTATTTTCGCTGACGACGCAATAACCCTGACTGAGTTGGACTCATGAAACTGTCCGAATGGAGCCCCTCTGCGAGCTGAGCAACAGCACTTATATCATCGTGTATCTGGCGAACAGGTCGAGTTGACTGATGGAGTGGGCTTGGACGTATCTCTCTCGCCGTGGGTAGAGGGAAAATCTTACTGCTTCGGATATAGCTGTGTGTTAGTGCCCATCTTCTCCCATTCTCGAGTTTCCCATCGAAAATGACACATCAGGGCGCTTCATTAGTGGCCCATTTCCGAGCCCTTCACTGTGACCGCGTTCCTGACAACACGGCTGATCTCCAAACCCAGGCGTACCGAGAAAAATAATTGCATCCCAATCACGGTTGATCAAATTGCCTATATTTCCACTGTTGGGGAGAGGTACGTAGAACGGTGGTCTTTCTCAGTTTGCGGTAGAACCCTCTGGACCCGGAGCGTCTCGTAGCGTTAAGTGATGTATCACAGACAAGCCAAGTCACTGGGGTTCAGCCCGATCACAAGGGCACCAAACTGAAATCTCGTTGCACTCGGAATGCAAATGCGGATGCTACTGTGACTACGACCGTGGGCGAACTCCCGGACCCCCATTGGGCGGACTCCTACCTCATCATCTCCAGAGCGCCTAGAGGCTGTATCAATCCGTTCACTTCTTTCGCTGCCTGCCATTTCATTGGTGTTCTCTTCAAACAAAAAAATAATGGTTTGGCAAGATGACGGAGAGCTAATCTGCATCGGTATATAACCACTCAGTGAACCAATGTCATACTCAACCATTTTTGACGATAGTGGAAGCTTAGAAAAATGTACCTAATGATTTCATCCAATCCGAACCCAGTACATATGGTCAATACCAGACCTCCAAGTGGGTCAGCTAAGATCGTGCGGCCATCTCCACATCCACGGGGGGTTGGAAATCTGAACTTGAGGTTTTTTGGGAGAATCCAAAATGTCTTCCTGTGAACCACCACAAGATCACGTTGAGAGCCCCCCACGATGAAAGAAGGGCGGAAGAAGAGAGCGTTGGGTCATGAGGTTGACGGAGAGCCAGAGGTTGACGGAGAGCCATGAGATAATAAGGTGCGGCTATAATGAGATACGCTGAGATGTGAAAGATGAGCCTGAAGGCAGGTTTATGTGGTGGTTTCACGCACCGACAGGATACCATCCCATGGCAATCGCATCCCGTCTCAAGACACGATTAGCATCAAAAGATGCTTGACGTACCCACTTATACACTACCATCCCGTATGCAAGAATTGTCACTAGGGCGGCCAGTATTAATGAGGCATGCATGGTTCCTGCGAATCCAGATTCCAGGCTGCCGAAGCTCGCAGAAGCGAAAATCCCCTACCTACTCGCGCCTTCCAGTGATGGGCCGAGATTGAGCACCACAATCTGGGATGCAGGTTTAGAGCGTCCATGGAATACTAATCATGAGCAAGTCTCACCCTGTACTGCCATAATATGGGCGAATGACAGCAGCAGGGACTGCAGTGATTAAAGCGGTGGAAGCGGTAATGAAGCAAATAGATCCCGCGACGAAAATCCTTGCACCTCTCGTCCCTAGCCATTTTGAATGGAAGACTTGAAGGTAAGTCAACACTGCAATTGCAATGGTGTACCACCCTGGTGACCAGCATGTTGAAGGATCGATATTCGGCGAGACGAATCAACTCGTGCGTACCCACGCCCAAATACCCAATCTGTCTCAACACCCCTTGCGCCGTACAGTATGAACCCTCGGTGACTTTTCCAGCATAAGCCCATTTGACGGATAACGTATTCGATATCCCATGACTACGGGAAATTCGATGACGAATGGTCAATACCGACATTGACGTAGCGGGACTTACATTGCGTCCGTGAAGATAGCGCACAGAAACAATACAGATATGGGCTGAAGCTGAGGCTCAACGCCGGAGCCTGGTGCACGCTTTCTGGACTCGCGACGCTTCTTGCGCACTTGTCTCTATTAGACGCCAAATGAAACTAGTACAGCATGGGCTTGAACAGGTGCAATCGCCAAGTGCTCACCAAAGAATACACGAGCAGGGAGGACGCAAGAACAAAGGTCACCAGGCCAATTTCGGAGATAAGCTTAGGGAATGTCAGATAACGCGCCCGCAATGACCCGAAAGAGGCTCACAAGGATGCCAGCGCGCAGTTGAAAATCGTCTCGAAGGGATAAATCAGAAGGTTTTTTACCATGCCACCCTGAGCATTCGCTAACCATATCGCGTGCTGTAGTGGGAGGGTGATTGAAAAATCGGCTTTATGTCTAAGGGAACATTAGCTGGGATCAGCAAGGCTGCCAGATAGAGGCGATTGCAATATCATCGATTCAAAGCATCATGTACAAGGAGGCCTTTCCTGATATGTATCCACTCCGCGCGGCAGAGCGACAAGTTAGGTGCTCGCCATGGGTTCTTCATTAGGCGCGAATTCGAGATTGGAGCATATGATAGATACTACTCTAAGGCTGGCTTAGAGCTAAGCGACGTGGATACGTAACATTATGGAAGCCACCGGGTACTGCATGTTACAATATCATTCGGACAACTCCGCTGCACTGTGAACAGATGACGTCACGAGGTCAGGGTCCTTCGCTGGTCAAAGTCCCATGCTGAGGCGGCCTCTGGAAATCCTGCCCTGCTAGTCCTTTGTCTCCCTAGGTTCCAGTCAGATCACGGGAGAAAGTCATAAGTCTGTCATCCGCTTTGAGTCAAAGATTCGCTTTGTAAATCGTCAAAAGTCAAAGTCGTTCTGCCAGCTTTGGCTTACAAGCGCCCAGACTAGCCTAAAAAAGATCGTGGAGGGGTGAAAGGAGGAAAAGGGCATTGTATGTAATACCTTCGTGGTAACCTCCCATCAGACATTCAACGCCAAACTCCTTTGGCATCAGGAACAGGCGAGCCATCTACAAGTCAAACGCCGATGCACGCCCACTGATCAAACAATTGCAACCACGAAAGCGGGAGGCCGAGGAGGGAGCTCTGTCGAGCAAGTCAGCTCATATCTCCAGTGAATGACGCCGACACATTGTCAACAATAGGGTCGAAGAAACTTAAGCCGTGGCAAATCTCAAACGACGACAAGGATAAGGACGAGGATGGATACGATATAAGTAAATGCAAGTTTTTTTTACACCTGGCCCAATATAACTGATACAATCCTAGTACTTCCACCGTCATACAACTTCAATGGTTCATTCAATATCTGATTCCGTGACCACCGGGCGACTGGGGAGGAGAGTATGAACGAAACGATGTTGAATCCTTCTTTCTTCATGAAGTGCTCTTGGCCTTCTCGTGCGAAGAAAGACGCGGAATGCAGCTTGCACCGAGGTCCAACGGGCGAGTTCGGAACCGCAACTCGGCCATTCAATTCCAGACGTTGTAAATCAACCAATCCGTACTTAGTTCCAAGTCCCAATTCAAAGGCCATTAACTTTCACCCAAAAGATGTCGGTTCACTCTGTCCAGAACGGCCGAACTATCGAAGTTTGCTTCTTCGGGGTCAAGGGTGCAGCCTCAAGCACTGTGAGATTGCTTGGGATTTGTGCATTTGTGTGTTGTACCCCATGCTTGGCACGTATTGCGATCCGCATCTTCTCTCTCCATAATTTTCGTCCGATGGCTTTCTGCATCAGTACGGGTACATGCAACGAGACATTGGCATCAGGAATGATCTCAAGCTGATGCAACATGCCCAAATTGTGCCATTCAACATCGACAAGTTGAAAGAGTTCCACGACGCCATCATTTGCGGCAATAAAGATGTCGGCGAACTCGGCGAACTCAGTGACCCAGTGCGGTAAAGTCGAGGCATTGAAAGCACTTTTAGAAGATTCAAGAACAAATCGGGAGGTAAAGGATGAGGTCGGCAAAGTGATGGCCGTTGCCAAGGGCATACAGAGGGGAATTGCGGAACTAGTGCTGTCGGTCGATGTAACTGAGTGTTGGGTCATTATTTCAGACGGCACCCGCTTGATGGGGACGGACATTGCAGAATCCACCTCAGTAAGTCTCACATATTAGCCAACCGCACATGCATCGAACCGTCCTTCAGGGAACCTATGAGTTTATGTCCCCTCCATCCGTTTCGCCATGAAGTGTGAGAACCTGCACCCGCACTCTCCACGGGACGATATATTTGGCGCGATGGCCTACGAAGGGTCGTGATGCCCTGGTGATGGAGCTTCGGTTTCAGCGTTTCCAGAAATCTTCTCAAAGCTACGCTCTAATTATCATTGGAATGCTCTCTGTTCTCGATGGCTGGTGGAAGAGGCTTTCTGAGTTGTGGTCATCCCCCATTGCCGCACTGGGCAGAGGATCAAGAGATCCTTCGCTTCATATATTTTGACCTGTTGGCGTACCGTGGTGTTGCAAACTTCGTCCAAATTGTAAAGGAGCATCGCCAACACATCCAGACTGTGAGATAGAGCAACAGGTGACTTTTTAGCTCCTTTTCAATGAGGATCGGATGTATAGTCGGCTCAAAGTTATGAATTGTATGCCGATTTTTCAATCAGTCATTGAGGACGATGGGACTAAATATTGTACTTGTTGCTATTTCTCCCCGTGTTCCCTAGGTTGATTACGACTCTGCAGTGGCGATAAGTGTCGGCAGCTAACGTCGTCCGAGCCGTGGACGCTCGGGATCATCATTGTTCTAGTTTCCTTGTGAACAGAGTGCCTCAATTAAGAGCAAAGAATCACCTTAGCCCGGAAAGCTATTTCCCTATCCTTTCCTACCCAACCAACGGCTTTCCTCAGGGGCAATATTGATAAACACGAAAGTAAAATCCTGGGATGAAAGTGGTTGGTCACCAGGAGCGATAGCACGGGTTCCACTCGAAGTTGCTGAACAAAAGATATAAGGCAAGAAAACAAGGGCCCTAGACGTCACGCTTATAATCATTGGCCTTAGGGAGCTATGCAAAGCGCAAGTGCGAGAGTTGGGACACATTAGTTCACACACTCTGACTCATTCATTTTATGTAATGTTGCAGAAATTTGAAATTTCGGGCCGGTATGCCATTCGTTTGTAATAGAGGCTGGCCACTGCGTTGCACCGTCTGTTGGGCTGTGGTCAGCCTAAGCGCGGGGAATATGCACGTGCGGAGTGAGTACTTTTTCCAGGAACGGATTAATTCATCGATTACCAGTTCATCGCTTGTTACGTCCACTCCACGAGAGCCAACAGCCTGGGCCTTAGGTTTACACATATATAATGTGAGAGCAGCCGAGCGCTACCGAACGCGAACATAATCATTTGTGATCGCCAGCTAGTGCAACATGCCCAAAGATCGTAAATACCACCATTTTCCCTCCCTGATGAAGCGACGACGCGCTCCAGAGCCTCCTAATGACCAGCTACAGGGGTCAACGCCCAATTTTTCCAACATCCGGATTGCTGTTTCTGCAACTGAGAACGACGGGACGATTCGCGGAGATCATGATCAGCCAGAAGGATCACATCCTGGTAACCTTTCCTCTAGTAGCACATTAAAGGATGATGCCGCAGAGCAGCGAACGCGCCTTCGAGACAGGATATCCGAGCTATTCAGGAGAAGCCCCAGCCCCAATCGTCGCAACCAATCAAGTACACCCCAGCCCAATTATCCTGTGACCGAGACATCTCCAAACGGCCCACGGCCATTGCTATCTCCCCTTCCCACCGAAGTGATTCCTACTGCGTTAGTTGGTGACGATGAAGCGAGCGTAGGCACGCAGCAAGAACCGTCAGATATCGGGCCGTTAGCCCCAGCTGCTTCATCAGTGACAGCGGAATCGGCGTCTCGTAGATCTGATGGCAATCGAAAGGATATAATCGCCGGTGGCACCAAAGCCTTTCTCCAAACCGCGGCCACTGCTCTCAAGTTCGTCCCCATTCCCAATCTAGATCAGATCCCCAACACGCTTTTGACATGGATTCGAATCTATGAGGTTCGTGAATGGTCTTGGCGATCCTGACCGTGGTCTTCTCTCATACCTAGTGCATGCGAGTAGAATGTTAGCGGGAACGCCGAGGATCTCAAGCAGTTGTGCGACGTGATTCAGCAAGCGAAGGACTCGGTGTTTGAACCCCTCCAGACGTGGATTGGAAAGATCCCTCCTGAGCTTGAAACCCTAGTGGAGGAATTCCGCGTGTATGCATCTGCTCTTCCTTTTATTCAAATTTTCTCATTCTCTTCGTAGGGCTTTGCAAAAACAGGTCAAGGACATTGAAACAGTCCAGAACAAACATATCGTCGAGAAGACCGTTCTAGCGTCCGAGATAACACAGCAGATAACCAATATGAAGAACTGTCTAAATGACGCTATTCATCGATTCGAGGTTCGCGTGCTCGAGATTTTCAAATGGGCGGATCCCGACTCACCATGTTCGCCATAGTTAAGATCATTGACTTTAATTCTGCTTCGTACCGAGCACTCATCAGTTCAATGTATGTGTCCGTGTGCGTGCTTATAAATTGTTTAATCACTAATACTTGTAGCTGAGCTATCAAGACTTCGCCGAGCCCCAGCCGAGCACAATTTAGTGAAGAGCAAATCGGAGTGCCTTCCAGGCACGCGGGCTTCGATGCAAGTGTCCCTAATCAAGCACCTGACGAATGCCGAAACCCGATTTGTTTGGTTAAGGGGCTCTCCTGGAACAGGGAAAACTGCAATTTCTATGAGTGTCTCATCTACTCTTGAGGAACAGGGTACTCTGGCCGCCTCATTCTTCTGGGATAAAACCCGGACAGGATCGGGGTTGGATTCTCTTGAACTATTCCCCTCTACCCTTTCCCGCCAACTTGCATCCTTCAACGAGGACTTCAGATTGTCGCTCGTCAGACGCCTTCGGCAACCAGGTTTGGAGTTAGTCCAGGATTTCCCCCTGGGAAAACAAATTAAAACTCTGATAATCGAGCCGATGCGTGACCTGAAGGACATTTATCCTCCAGGTAAGGATCGCTTGGTCATCGTCTTGGATGGTCTCGATGAATGCGGGAATCAGGAGACACTTAAGTCCTTGATGACGCTAGTACTTGCCCTTGAGGAGCTGCCGCCAGCATTTGCTGTGTTTGTTAGTTGTCGTCCCGAGCCGGGAGTCATTTCAGCTTGGTCCAAGGCTCGAAAGAAGGGACATGTCATACCGTGTGAAGATGTGGACGAGATCGTAAAGGATGAGGCTTTCTACACTGTGCGACGTATGGTGGTTGACGGCCTTCAGGACCTCATTAGTGAATCTTCGTGGCAACCAACAGAGGGGGAACTCAATGATTTTTCTCAGGCCTGCCGTGGGTTACCTGTTGTGGCATCTATCCGGGTTCGCGATGTTGGCCTACAGACTCGGCGTGGCCGCACCCTACAATCGGCGTTCCGGAACCTGCTCGATCTCTCTGACATGCCTGCCGACCTTAGCAGGGAGTACTTGCGAGTCCTTCGACAAGCCTATGTGCTGGATTCATCTGAAGTTCCCTCGGATGTGGCCAAGAAGTACCGCTTGGTGGTCGGGGCGATTGTTGTGGCACGTGAGCCGATGAATGTGTCTTTCATGTCGCAACTTTTTGGGATTGGCGAGGATGAGATCCGGGCGACATTGGAACCAATCAGGGCGATCATAAATCTTCCCTCAGAGAACACAGAAGATGTCACCTTCTATCACGCAACGGCGGAAGAATTTATAATGGGGGATCCAATTGGTGATGAGAAGGATAAAGTATTTTTCATCAATGACGTAAAAGGGTATGGGTATTTCCTTGGACTTCCGCTCCTCAAACTTTTCAACAGTTATTGTGAGCGGAACACATTTGGGATACCTGCCGATCCTCCCTTCGGAGATGAAAGAAAATGGGAGGCATTTATGGCGAAAAAGATGGATTATCGCCGCTGCTTTCACTATGTTATTGAATACTTACTTCAGCATTTGGACCCTTCGCAACTATTTTCACAAGAGCCCAATGAGTTACAAAACGAGTTCAATACTTTCATTACGCGAAACTACATGTTGACATTCATGCAGTTGCAAAACGAAGTCGGCTATCCCGAACCCCTTTCATTTCCTAAAGAATTACTTCAATTCCATGTAAGCGTTGACTGTTCATCTGATGCTTTTCTGATGTCATATTCGATAGAACCACGATTTGATCCAACTTCTGAGAGAGTTGGGTCCAGTCGCTTTCAATGTCGGGTACAAACCATGGCAGCTGTATCGATCAGAGCTTCCTTTCACGCCACTCTCATCGTTCATCCACAAACAATATGGCCATCTGTCTGATCCTGTCCGGATGTTCTCCATTTTTGGCAAGTATTTTGGTGGCACCATCCCACTAAGCGAGGATTCACGCAGGGCCCAAGAGGTCATGCACGCAAAGTTGAGTGAACTACCAGAGACGGCTAATGGACGGGGAGGAAAGGGGATCAATTACAAGGCTGAATTCCACGAGCCTGATATTCGTAATGGAACTGTGACATCTGCCGCACTCTCCCTCGACGGTCGCTATGTTGCACTGGGGTTTGGCAATGGCATCATCGAAATTGCCGATATTGATCATCAACATACAGTCTGTCGATTCCAGCCCAATAATTCGGCCAGTCTTCCTGTCTGGATCGAATTTGTCCATGGCGGCCACCAAGTCGCTACCGAAGATATCGATGGGAATGTAACACTCCTCAGTGACGATATGACATTTGTGAAGCTCGGCACTCTTCCCACTGGTGACTATCCTGCGGGAACCACCACCTCAGATAATGGATTATTTGTCGTACGGGTCCCACGAAATCTCGACAACCCTTGGTATGACAACATGATGCTCATATCTGTTTCGGGGGATCCATCTATCCATTGCCTCGCCTCTCCTCCTTTCTCTCCATCTCCTCAACTCAACGATAAGTTAGCCACTCCTCACCGTCGGACCCTTGGTTTCTCCCCGGAAGCACAATATGTTGGTGCTTTTGATGGGATCCATGCCGTTACCTGGTCAACAGAATCATTCCAGTACATTGCAGGTTATCGGGTGACGAACTTCGACTATTGGATCATTAATCCCACTGTCCCTCCAACTAACTCATACTTTGTCCCTGATCCAATATTCACTCGAGCCACTCTTCCCTTGGTAGAAGGTGATGCGGCTTATGCACATCATTCCGACGTGGACGCAGGGCATGGCTCTGATGAGTCCTGGATCAAGTGCCCATTTTATGATCTCTCACCGGGCAACTCGGAAGAAAGCGTTGAGCTCCGCCGTTTGCCTACCGCAACGAGGACCCCACTAATTTATTCCGACACGTCACGGTGGCCCTATGTGTGGCTCAATGGTAGGGAAGCACTCGGGCTCCCATGGGACTATCGACGGATTGATTTTGGGGAAGCCTGGTGCGGTTATCGAACGCCAATTGATTCTCTGGGGCTCTACCGCCCTCATTCCAGCAAGGACGGAACTCGATTTCTCGTCCAGTGTGAGTTACAGGCCCCAATTGTCATTGATATTAGCCAAATTGTTTAGCATTTACCAATGCGCCCGTTTGTGCTTATACTTTTTCCATAACGTTATGTTTGGTAATGTACCTAACATTACTGTCGATGTTAACGAAACCCTAAAACTACTCGCCAGGGGGAAATAAGATAGATGAAAAAAATTATGCAACCTTTCGAATAAAGATATATCCAAAGGATTGTCGACTTGGGGGCATGCACTACTGAGTGAGACAATAACAAATCGATAATGTCCTGCGCTTAATTGTACATCTCATCGCAGCGCCCTTCCCAATTCTCTTCCCAACATGCCACCACTCCGTCGCGATATACATGAGATGGAGCTGGGTAGTGCCATAATACGGCAGCCCGAACGATTGGGAATGAGAGGGGCAGGACAAGGCTCTGGAGTGCAGCACCCGAGCATGAATCAAAAGGAATTCGAATATACCCGTACACCTTTACAAGTATTTCGAGCTACGATGTGTTCACATATGATCAAGTCGAAGCATATATGATGTGCGTTTGTGAGTGGAGGCACGTCAAGTCGTGATTCATAGGATCGCACCCGGGGTTAAGTAAGCTGTGTAAGTGCTAACGAATATGGGGTGAGTGATGTACGGCAAATGGCTACCGTACCTCTATCTGTGCATCACTGAGGTTTTCTCCTGGATGATAAGTGAAGGAAATGACCAGAGCTAGCCCCTAAAGCTAGATGTACGAGCTATACGTTCAAGCTTGCAACCCATTCTGATTGACGCAGCTTTCCTCACACCCTGCCCTCGTCAGCACAAGGATCCGGGATAACATACACCAGCACCCCCACAGCAGGCACCCCGATCTGGAAGCTTGCCCGAAAGGACCCAGTCTCGCCCAAGATGTGAGAAGGGAGTTCTCAGCGTAAAAACAACTACTACAGTGCGCAATGTTTCGCGGATAATTGAAGTTGCGGGTAGGATGATTATTCGAATAGTCCCCGAGATCGTTTGGTCCGACATGGGATTGAGGGGCTGAATGATAGGCTCATATTTAGCTCAACCAACCACTGATTATGAGTCGGACTTACCGCATGTTGATAATTCACAATCCAGCCGGCCTGGTGAATATGAGTGGTAATGGAATAGAGGAAAGCGTAATATAGATGACAACGTATTGGTGGAACATATGGATAGGAACAATGGGGTTGGCAGGACGGGACATCGAGAGATTCTTACCATCTTGTTCCAACGTTTCATTTGAGAGAATCAGATCCTGTTTTCGTGCCCAAGCCCGCTTACTTATCGGGGCAAGTCCGGTGCCATATATGAAAATTATAATAGCCATCCCAATGTACCAGCGCTAATACGGTGGGAGGCAGGTGTGACTACTCTCGGAAATACGTTCAACATGAAAAGAGACCAATACCTCAAGGCGTGAAGCCCTAAAATGGTGGAGCTTGTCATTCCTAGTCCCCAAGCATGGTCTGGACGAAGTCGGCGATTACATAATCAGTTTGCACCCACCAACACCAACAATCATCCACCCAATATCCGACCACTAGTACGAAACTCAATAGTGGAGTATAATGCAGGCACCACTCGGGCAAAAGCGGCCAAGTGTATGCACCTAAATTGAACTGTCGTACGCGTTAGTCTGCACCCGGGTACCCCAGTAATCACTCAATGTCCCAATCTTGATGTTCAACTCGGCCTTATCAGCACTTTCTGATCCAAACCAGGCAATTTTTGAGCCCGTTCTCGATTGGATTGATCTCACTTAGGATACGACGCTGAGGACAAACTATTGCTGTTCTCGCCGTCTTATCAGTCCAATTGTTGTGACTCAGTTTCGCACCTAACGTACAACTTGATCATCCTCTTCATTCAATATTTTGCCTTTCCTCTGACGGATGCTCCATGACATCCTTGGCTGATGGCACTTGCAGTCCCAAACTTGTACGGCAACACGGATGGCTTAACACCTGCATATACACCAACGATTCGATGGCCTATTGTTCTGAAAGCCTTCAGCACTATCCTACTAGTACTATTTACGTGATACTCGTGGAGGCCCTAGCTTGGCAGTGGAGTATTCGACAGCGTCGTTGCCACGCATAGAGGGCCACCACCTCTGATAGGTGACCTTGGTGCATCCACTGATGATCCTTGAGGACGTGCAGAAAGACGCGTATCTGGTGGCTCGCTATTCCTATTCCCCTGGGAGTCAAATTGGGGCCCAGCAGCTACAGTCATACCATACGTCACAAGCACCGGACGGCCTGTCTCAGTATTCAGAAGCACCATTGTTGCACCAAACGGCCCAATAGACAGTGACATGGTCATTGAGAGCCTTCCTATCAGGAGCGTGTTCTCCCTCATGCCGAACCTCCTTGTCTCCATGCCATTCCAATTTGTTAGCCTCCTCACATTCTCCTTCACACCATGTGTGCGGCCAAGCGTGGCAGTTGGGCCGTATCACCTCCATTCACTATGGATTCTTTATGATCAGTTTCGATATTGTCGTCCTCGTGGCTGGTGATGACGCAACCACTGCTTCTTGGGGTGCGTAGGTCACCCTAAGAAGCGAGGTGGTGCCTACCTCCGTCCGGACCACCCTTCCTCGCATATTCATATTCGCTGTTTCCAGTAGTGCCCCCCACCCAGAGGAAACAGCACTTCGGTCATGGTAATCCACGATCTGAGCGAACCGAACGGGGGGCTCTTTCCTTACCCTCAATGATTGTTTCTTCATGACGATGACACTGAGATGATTCCTTCCTTGGATTTCGGCGGGCCCGACAATGGGAGTGGAACGTTCAGCGAGCACAATAGTTGAGATGGAAAAACCCCTTGTACAACATTCTCAACCGTTGAAAACCCTCAAGCACGCATTTGGGATGGGTGCGTGTACCAATTAGTGACCACACGAGCACCAGTGAGACGTCGAGGTGACTGCATCCCGTGCCTCTCTCCCTGAGCCAACTTCAGATGGGAACGATGGAGTAAATCCACCAGCCCAGGATAGCCATCGGGGACGTCGCGTGTACGTCTGTCAGGATGGTAATTGGGCATACAGTTCCATTCCCCTTTTCGCTGTAGAGGTCCAGTTGAATTATGCGGTATGTCACTCACTCTATATTCGTTGGCACTTACGCAGCTTGACATCACCAGACGTTTCCCGGACGCGATTATGAATCATGGCTCGCACGCTTCCAGTGACACTGTCTCAACACTCGTCATCCAGCTTGATTATATGGCTGGCCATGCATATCATGCTACACTTGTAAAGGCGTACAGGTATATCCCTTTCATCTGTACTGCATTACAGAGCCCCATCCCACTGCCCCATTCTAGTCGTCCGGGTGGCCATAGTACGCTATCTGGTCACACGTAAACATATCGCAACGGTATGCATATAGGGGAGGGAATTGGACAGGGACGACGATAAGATGTGCAAGTGCCAGTATAAAAGCATAGGTGACGCAACCGATAAAAATCCAACAATTACTGTTGTCTCTTCAACTGCTCGAGTTTGTGTGTGCGCGCCATCAGTTAAGTGCAAGTTAACAACGCTGCCTTGAATATTCCTTTGAAAAGCTCTGTGATTTTGTTCCATCTGGCTGGCCTCGCCAGTAGTTGTGGTGTTTCGCCTTCCTGTACTCCGCGGGGCACCAGAGACCCGTCATCACCAACAATAATGTTATGTACGTTACCAAACCTAACGTTACAAAAATAGTACATGATACACACTTCAAAGACTGTCCACAATTCTGAGCAACATTACAGCCCAAAAGACATTGAGTGTCTGGCTCAAGGAGTGAGAGAATGACGAGTAAGCACCAACGGGTGCACTGGTAAATTGCTAAACAATTTGGCTAATATCGATGATAATTGGGGCCCGTAACTTGCCCTGGACCAAAAATCGAGTTCCATCCCTGTTGGACTGGGGGCGGTAGAGGTACAGAGGATCAGGCGTTACTCGATGGCCGTACCAAGCTTCCTTAGAATCAATGGGTCCGTAGCGCGGTGGGAGGTCGAGTTCTTCCCTACCATTTAGGTGCACAGTGGCCCACAATGACTCAGAGGAATAGATGTGTGGAGTTCTCGTTGCGGCAGGCAAACGGTGGACCCTTTTTTCTGAGTTGCTTGGCGAGAGGTCGTAAAATGGGTGCATGATCCACGACTCGTCAGAGTCATGCCCTACAGTCGCATCGGAGTGATGTGTATAAGCCGTGTCACCTCCTACTAAGGGAAGAGTGGCTCGAGTGAATATAGGATCAGGGACGAGGTATGAGTGAGTTGGAGGGATAGAGGAATTAATAATCCAATAATTGAAGTTTGTCACCCGATAACCCGCAATGCACTGTAATGATTCTGTCGACCAGGTAACGGCATAGACCCCATCAAAAGCACCAACATATTGTGCTCCTGGAGAAAAACCGAATGTCCGACGGTGAGGGATGGATAATGGGGGCGAAGAGTTGACGGAGAACAGGGCGGAAGAGCACGATGGGGATGCAGACATTTCGGAAGGAGGAGATGCGAGGCACCGGATAGCTGGATCCCTTGAGACAGATATAAGCATCATCTTGTCGTACCAAGGGTTATCGAGATTTCGTGGGACTCGTATGACAAACAATCCATTATTTGAGACGGCAGTCCCGGCAGGATAGTCACCAGTGGGAAGAGTGCCGAGCTTTACAGCGGTCATATCATCACCAAGGACTGTTACGCGGCCATCAATATCTTCGGTAGCGACTCGGTGGCTGCCATTGACAAATTCGATCCAGATGGGGATATTGGCAGAATCAGGCTGCAACCGACAGATTGTACGCTGATGATCTATATCGGCAACTTCGATGATGCCACTGCCAAACCCTAGTGCAACATAGCGACCATCAAGGGAGAGTGTGGCACACGTCACAATGCCATTGCGAACATCAGGTTCGTGAAATTCAGCGTCATAGTTGATTGCCTTGTTTCCATGTCCGTCAACTTTCTTCGGTAATTCACTCAACTTGGAGTGCATGACTCCTTGCGCCCTGCGTGAATCCGCACTTAATGGGATGATGCCACCAGAGAACTCGCCAAAAGCGGAGAAGATCCGAACAGGATCAGAGAGATGGCCCTATTGTTTGTAAAGGGAGGGTGGGGAGAAAGGGAGATATGATCGATAAAGATACCATGGTGTGTCCGTGATATACCAATCCAGCGGATCTAACTCTCTCACAAGTTGGGTTGAATCGTGATTCTATCAAAAGTGACATCAGAGAAGTGTGGGATGAATAGTTTATACCTACATTAAATTGAAGTAATTCTTCAGGAAATAAATAGAAAAGAGGTCGCTGACGAGGATCGTGCAAGTGAATCCATGTCAACACGTAGTTTTGTGTAATGAAGGAATTGAACTCGTTTTGTAATTCACTGGACTCTTGCGAAAACAGTTGCGAGGGGTCCAAGTGCTCGAGTAAATAATTAATGATATAGGAGAAGCGGCTGCGATAATCCACCTTTTTTGCAATAAATTCCTTCCATTTTCCTTCATCTCCTAAAGGAGGATCGGTGGGTATACCAAACACATTCTGCTCACAATAGCTGTTGAAGAGTCGAAGGAGCGGTAATCCGAGGGAGTATCCTTTCATGTCATCAATAAAGAATACTTTGTCCTCCTCACCACCAATTGGTTTCCCCGTTATGAATTCTTTTGCCGTTGCGTGATAGAAGGTAATCTCCTTTGTGTTCTCCGAGGGAAGATTTATGATTGAGCTGATTGGTTCCAATGTTGCACAGATCTCATCCTCGCTAATCTCAAATATTTGTGACATGGAAGAAACACTCATCCGCTCATGGGCCGCCAGAATTGCCGTGACTACTAAGCGATACGTCTTGGCCACATCGGGGGGAATTCCAGACGAATCTAGCACAAAGGCTTGACGAAGGATTCGCAAGTACTCCCATCCAAGGTCGGCAGGTGTATCAGCAAGATTGAGCAGGTTCTGGAAAGCTAATTGTGGGGTGCGACCACGCCGTGCCTGCTGGCAGACATCGCGAATTCGGATCGATGCCATAATGGGTAACCCACGACAAGCCCGGGAAAAAGCATTGAGTTCCCACTCCGTTGGTTTCCATGAAGAATTTTTGATAACGCCCTGAAGGCGATCTTTCACCATACAGCGGACTGTATGGAAACCTTCATCGTGTTCTATCTTGTCTACATCTTCGGATGGTATGACATGTCCCACGGTCCGAGCCTTAGACCAAGCTGATATGACCTCTCGCTCAGGACGACTACTAACTAGCACAGAAAATGCAGGTGGCAGCTCCTGAAGGGCCAGTACCAGCTCCATCAGGGACTCCAGTGCCTCCTGATTCCCGCACTCGTCAAGACCGTCCAAGACGATGACGAAGCGATTCTTACCCGAAGGGAATATGTCCTTCAGGTTGCGTATCGGCTCAATAATCAGAGCCTTCATTTGTTTTTCCAGAGGTAAATCCTGAAACAAGGTCAAATCCGGTTTCCGAAGTTGTCTGACGAGCGACAATTTGAAGTCCTCGTTGAATGATGCAAGTTGGCAGGCAAGGGTAGAGGGGAACTGTTCAATAGAATCCAAGCCCGATCCTCTCCGATTCTTGTCCCAGAAATATGACGCTGCCAGGATGCCGTGCTGCTCAAGAGTGGATGCGATACTCATAGAGATCGCGGTCTTTCCTGTCCCAGGGGATCCCGTAGCCAAACAAATCGGTTCTCAGGTTTCTTCAGGTGCTCGAGTAGGGATTCTTGAATCTTGAGTTGCGTGCCTGGTAGGCACTCTGATTTGCTTTTCACGTAAAGATGCTCGGCCGGAGCTCGCTTGAGTCTCGATATCTCGGCTAGAAGTATATATTAGCGGTTAGGGAATTCATCATGTACCCTGACACATACATTGAACCGATGCGTGCTCGGCACGAAGTAGAATTAAAGTCGATATTCTTAGCTATGGCGGGCATGGTTAATCAGGACCGAATTACTCAAACAATCTTGAAATAGGCAGACCTGGAATCGATGGATCGCATCACTCAGACAGCTCTTCATACCGGTTATTTGTCGGGCTATCTCTTGCGCTAGAATGGTCCTCTTGACAATGTTTTTTTCTCGGACTGCTTTAATGTCCTCCATCTGCTTCTCCAAAGCCCTACGGAAAAAATGAGCGAGTGCGAGCAAGGGTAAGACGAGCCTATGCGCACACCCGGACCTCTTGCACTAGGCTGTCAAGCTCAGGAGGGACTTCTCCAGTCCACTTTTGGAGGGGCTCCAGCACCGAGGCTTGCGCTTGCTGAATTACGACGCACAACTGCTTGAGCTCCTCAGAATTACCCTTGACGTCCTACATGGATGCAGCATGCATGAGGCGATCGTAACAAGAATGATCAAGACAGTTTGCTAACCTCATAGATACTGATACAAGCAAGAAGCGTGTCGGGGACCTGGCCAATATTTTTGATGGGAGCGAACTTGAGAGCAGTGACTGCGGCTTGGAGATGGAGTTTGGTGCTGGCGACGATTGTTTTCTTTAGATCACCAGAGCCACGAGATCCGGATCGCGCTCGGACCAATGAAGAAGCGGGGACTGATGTCCCGATATCTGCAGGTTCTTGATACGTGCGGACGCTCGCGCTGTTGTTCTGGATGCAGCATGTGTGGGGCGTCGTGCGCGGACTGCCAATGTCCATTTCGGTAGTAAGTGGAGGTAGCGGCAGCGACGGATCATCTGAAGATGGGATCTGGGCAATGGGAACAGAGGACCCAGTGATGGAGGCCTGCGGCGGATCGTCCGAAGGCTCTGAAGCGCGCTTTGGCCTCTTGAACTGCGAGCGGGAACTACGATTTCTGCGCATGGTGCTTAGTGCAGCGGTGGGGTAAAGGGAGGGAAACGCTCACAAGATATATGCGCAAACTGCTGCGCGCTGTTGTGGACATAAGAGGCAAGACAACGTTGGCCGCGCGGCAGGTAATGAAATTGGCTTTTTGACATTTGCAATTCAACATGTGCTGTTAGCTGCCCACCATGACCTGTGGAAATGGCTTCGGTCGGCGGCGTAGGAGTCTAAGCTACTTGGTAGAGATAGTAGACCGAGTTCAAAGATGATATTGGGCACTCGCATAAAGATCTTTCTCGCCAACTGTGTAGCGCCGAACCCTCACTCAGCGATGCCTCAGCCGGGCCTTAAATCCAGCTGTCGATAGCAACGCTGACAGCCGTTGAAGGTATCTAAACTAGTTGCTGGGTGGGTAAACCCAAGCGTTTAGGATCCAATAGCACTTCCACAGACAACTCGAAGTCCAAGTACTAGGGGGTTTGATGCACAGAGGTGAGACCTGTGCAATGGTCGTCTCGATGGATGAAACCTAAACAGCGTCGTTACTCGGGCAGAGAAGGTATCCTATGCGCGAGATGGGTACTGTGATGGTTGCCCACCTGGCTGCGACGTCGGGAAAGCCCGACAAGTGCTCTAGCACTCGGGAGCGCCCTAGAACAGGGGACTTTGCTCCTGAACCTGTCCGATTTTCGTGACTGGCAGTCAGAAGCAGTCTTAAGAGAAAAAGTGCTCTGATATGTAAAATTAAGAGTCCAAGGGCGAACAACATGGAAAGCTAGAATGACTTGGTACATGGCCAAATACTGATGCTAGTATGAGCAAAAGGGGGAGCCTTGGCTTAGGCTACAACGCACTCGTCCCAAACGCGCGCTTGAGGCCTTCAACATTTGGGAATGTCACACAGGGTCCTCTTTCGTCTCAACCATTGTGCCTGCTGAATTCCCACTGTCTGACGAGCTAGAGATCCACGGAATGAAGTGATGGGAACGAATCATCCCAGCGTTATCGTCATTAAGGGGTAACGAAATAGTCTCCTTGTTTAGTTCGCTTAGATCGTGAATACCATGACCGAAATGCTGATTCCCCTGGATGGAGGGACAGTGCTTGGAAACAGTGAATATGCGAAGAAGGATGCTCTGGACAGAGGCAGGCCTCATTTTGCTTCCTATGTACCCCAAGAAGCAGTGGTCAGGTCATCACTAGCCATGGGGACCACAGCGTACGAGTTGACCAGCGAAGTCGGATTCTTCAACCAGTCAACACAGGTCGCTAGCCTCAATTGACTTCTTGTGATCTTGTGACTTCTGGCTCGTGATCTCACGACTACCGCATACGTCCTGACATGCGCATAGCTAGGAGGGGTCAATTTCGTGGGTTCATTGGTTCCAACCTCCCACCTTCTGACTTTCGGGTAGACGCGTCTTCAAATGGGGCAGGGGCTTACTTCCCAGAATGGCAAGTGGGGCTCGATGGGATGGAGGAGCCGGTAGTTGAGCTGAATAATCTTTTTTTTTTTTTTTTTTTTTTTTTTTTTTTTTTGGTGGAACCTTCTGTAGCTTTCGCGGGCTTGAGTGCCTGAAGGTTTGTGGGGAAGGACTAGGCCTTCCTATCGGTGTATCTAGTGCCTATATGATGGGAATTGCCACCGCGGGGAAATGCGTTATCGCACTGGCGAAATCATTATCGCACCGTGTGGGGCTCACGCGACCGTGGGGGGTCGGGTATACCCACTAAAACCCCGTTGCATTTCAGCCAATTCTCAGGGAAGCACGCTTCGTTTTCGATAACGCCGCTCCATGTGTGTAGGACGAGCCATCCAGGGAGGGCTTTGTTATGATACTTTCTTCTGTTCGTGAGGTGTTTGTCTTGGCACAGCTTATCGTTCATGGCAGCTTTAAGTGTGTTAACGGCTTCGTTCAGTGAGATTCTTTCCGTGTTGTCTCCTAGGATTCTTTTACACCTTAGTTTCCATATCTGCCAGGCGCATTCGAGTACGGTTATCATGAAAAATCTAGATGCGCCGAGTTTTACGGAGCCGTTTCTCTTTTTGATCGATATCAGGGGGGCTGCCATCACGTGGTGTATTCCTATGTTGGCGGGCCAGTTGATGCCTTTCGCTGTGCACATGTCTTCGACAGCGGCCCAGAGATTTGGGCCTTGGTTGTGTGGGCACTCGAAAATGATGTGGTTCATCGATTCAGTAGTCCCGCATTTCAGGCACTGACCACGGTCCTCGTAACCCGGGATTTTGCTCCAGTAGAGACCGTCTTTGTGGGCGCCATGGACCAGTTTCCATACAAAGTTTCTTAGGCTGGGGTTCAGTTCTTTCTTGTTCTTTAGGATGGCGAGCCAGATTCTGCTGTCATTGGGGCAGGGCAGTCCATGTTTTTTAGGATGTCTCTTATGCGGTCTAGGTTTTCCGTCGATCTCTGACTGTTAGTGAGTTTCTTTTTTGCTGATTCTCTTATTATTAGTTTTGTGGTGATCGATTGTGTTAGGGCGCTTAGCCTTGCGCCGTTTTGAGTGTAGGGGAGGGTAGGGGGGGCTAGTTCGTCGGTTGGGGGGCCGAGGATCCTAAGGCAGCGAGTTCGTCAGCTTTTTCGTTGCCATTGCACCCGTTGTGGCCTTTTATCCACTCTATTGAGACGACGCCATTTCTCTTGCGGAGGGTGTTTATTGTGGTCTTGATGGCGAGAGGTTGGGGTGTCCCGATGAAATTTTGGTCCTCGGTTTTGTCGAGGTTTGTGGTGAGTGTGTTCACGCACCATCTGGAGTCGGTTTTGATATGGAGTCTGGCGCTTCGGGGTGCAGTGGCCACAGCGTGGTTTATCGCCAGTATTTCCGCGGTGTTATTTGTCTGGGGAAAGGCGTGGTTGACTGGGAGGCTCGCGTTGTTGGGGTTGTCGGTGCCAATCCATACACCAAATCCGGCCCTGGCGTCGGGTTCGCCGTTGCCGGTACAGGATCCGTCCGTGTAGGCCATTATGTCTGTGTTGAGGCCTCTAGGGGGTCTAAGGTCGGGGGAGCAGCACGGTTGCTCTTTTCGCGAAAGATGCGGAAATAGTCAGATAGGTAGTTTCCCGGTTTGGGGTAGGCTTTTATGGTTCTGACGTTCAGCGGGTCGCCTAGCGAGTGGATTTCGGTGTTGGTTTCGTCGTTCCTTGAGGGAGGGGGCCGGCATGCTAAAACGGTGCGAGGGTTATACTTAGGGCAGAGGTTTGAGATCATATTTTCGGCGAGTTGGTAGCATGTTTCGGGGTTCTTACAGCCTTTGTTTTTGTAGCTTGAGCACAAGGGGCAGGGGCAAGGTTTGCTCCAGCGTCTGTGGCGTGGGTCGTCTAGGATGTCGGCTTGGGCTAGGAGGTCCCTGGTTCGGAGGCAGTCGTGGGTCCTTCTTAGGCATTTGGCTGCGGGCGTATTTTCCTTCATTCTGGCATTGTCATTCATCCCGATGTGGTGCCATGCGGGGAGGTCCAGTCTGATGTTCAGTGGTATGTTAATGTCGTCGAGGGCTAGGTTGAACTTGGCCCCTGTGTTGAGGACGGCCTTGATTTCACGTGGAAGGTTCCTACTCGAGTAGCGTTGCTTGTTGAATACTTTTTGGGAGAAGATGTCAACTATTCGTGGGTCGCGGGTTTCCATGTCGCGGATGTGTTTCGGAAGCGTGGCGATGATTATTGCTTCAGCTGCATCCGCCGCAGCCGGCCTGTTAGGGGATCTATCCAGGATTTTTTTCAGTTTCATAAGGTAGATTGCCTCATTCCTCGCTTTGATGTTCAGGATGTTTCTTCCCCCTTCCCCCGGTGGGTTGTTTAGGGTTCTCATGTTGAGAGGGGGAATCTGGGCGTCCCATATGAAGTTTGTTATCAGGGTGCTGAGCTCTTTTTCGACGCTCTCTGGCATGCCTTGTGCTGAGGTGTGGAACTGAGTCATGCCGCCTATCACCATTTGGGTGATGAGTTTCCTCCCTTCGATTGTTGGGTAAGTTTTTTGCCAGTTTTTGAGGTTCGTATTGATTTTGGCCGTAATGTCCGGCCAAGGGTCGGATCCGCTTGGATGGTTTCCGCATTGGGCTCCAAGGTATCTTGTGGTCTGGCCGTCCTGGAGGATTGTTGTGTCGCCGTGGAAGGACATGGTTGAGTTAGGGCTCAGTTTCCTTGTGTCGTGGAGGTTTTTGCGGTATGTCGGTGAGCCAACGGGAATAATCACCGTCTTTTCTTTGTTGAATTTAGCTCCTGAGGCGGTGCACCATGTGTCAAGGATGTTATGGAGGTTGTTTATTTCATCTTTTTCTGAGAGGTAGACCGCGGCATCGTCTGTGAATAGGGAGACGATGATTTTCTGGGTGAGTGCCGGGGTTTTGATTTCAAGGCCATGTATTTTGCCTGATTCTCTTAGCATTGCTGATAGGGGTTCTATGGCTATGTTGAAAAGAAGGCACGATAGGGGGTCGCCCTGCCTTACTCCTCTGTGTATTAGGAACTCTTTGCTGGTTTCACCGTTTAGGATTACGCGGGTTTTAGGGTTGGTGTAGAGAGCTTTTATGGTGTTGATGGTTGGGGTTGGGATTCCCATGGCTTCTAGTGTGCGCCATAGGTAGTCATGGCGAATTCTGTCGTACGCCTTTTCTTGGTCTAGGGCGACGATTGCTCCGTTTTGGTTGACTATTTCGCATAGGTCTATCATGCAGTTGACAAGGTCGATTTGATCATGAATGCTTCTGCCCTTTATGAATGCGGCTTGGCACTTATTTATGAGGTTAGGAGCGATTGGAGCGATTTTATTCATGAGGGCAGTTGTCATGATTTTGTATTCTGCGTTAAGTACTGTTATTGGCCTATAGTTTTCTATCTCCCTCTTATCTTTCTTTTTGTATAGGGGGCATAGCCAGCCGGCTGTGAATTGTGGGGTGAGTACACCTCTGGTCTCAATATCGTGTATAACCCTGTGGAGGAGTTTTATTATGTCGGTACTTCTCTCCGTTTTTGTTTGCCACCTCTCATGGAGTTTCTTGTAGA